CATAAGGCGGTATGAAAATAAAATCAATCATATGGGTTTTTCCCCTTTCCTAATGTTACACTGAAACGACAACAACACGCAGTGGATGGATTTTACGCTGATCTCTTTCAAAGTGATCTGTTGATTTGAGTAGTTGCCTGTTTAGACCCTCTAAATTGATCATGCCACGTTGTTGCCCTTGAGCACTTCAAAAACGGTTGAATGGAAAGAATCTATACGTCACATTTTTTTTCCCACTCCACAAAGAAAGAGGAAAAGCTTTTGAGGAATTCGTGAAATTCACCCTCAACACCAAAGGAAAGCGATGACTTCTAGTACCCTCCCTGGAGCCGAGCCGCAGCTGAAGTCGATGGAAAGTTATCTAACGCAAAGCATACGGCTCCTCCAGCAGCTCCAGAAAGGCGATCTTGCGGGAGCAGCACAAACAGCGGAATTAATCGAGGCATCACGTACGAATACTTCGAAGGGTACGGTTTCGGAGCACACGCCCGCGCGCGCGGTGCTCAATTTATACCGTGACGCACTTCTCAGCGCGTCTCATCAACCAAGGGGCGAGGAAGAGGAAAGTTGCAGCGATGATGACGAGGTTGAGGAGAGCATTCCGGACGCGGCGACGCGAGAAGGCGCCATTATATCAAGCTCACATAATGAATACAAGGAATGCCCGCCAAGCAATGGCAGTTTCCCCAGAAGCTCCACCACCACCACCATCACCACCACTGAATCAGAGAGCGAAGACGAAAGTAGTTCGACTTCCTCAGCGAGTAGCACGAACCGGGAGGATCTCCAACGGCGCGTGGACCATGTGCCCGTGCGGAAATCCATGGATGGTCATGAAATCGATGTAAACGCTCAGTTGCTTGATATTCTCTCGCAGATAAAACGCAAAATTCCTGAAGAAGGAACCAATAGACAATATAAAGCGAGTATGGAGCCCCCTGTGAAGGTACCGACGTCGGCGCCGCAACTCCAAACTGAACTCGGGCGAGTGGACGGCGCTACCCCTGAAGACGAGGTTCTACAGATGGAGGCGGAAATATTCGCTGATATAGACCTACGAGTCCAACAAGAGATGAAAAGGTTAGCAATTGTGCGTAAGAACCGCTGAGTAGGTGGGCGAGCACGGAAGGGAGGAAATCCAACTAATCTGTGTTGAGTGCTAGGATGCCCCATTTCATTTCCTGTAGGAGGGCTAATCGTTCATGTAATTTTTTATTCCGAAACCTTTCGCTGACAACTTTTTCTTGTGTGTCCTCGACATCAGTGTGGTATGCTTATCCCAGTGTTCACGATCATGGAGACAACGACTGCAAACCGAACCTCCTTCATCGATGATGTGCATTCCGCCTTTTTGCCTCGTGCAAGAAATACTTATATTATTAAAAACAAGATGTTTCGTCTCTTGCATTCCGTGTTTATTAGATCCCATGCGCGTGCGGTTGGATACCGATCAGAATTCCATCCTATGCCCTCCCCTTCTGTGGTCTTGGCGAAGGCAACGGACAGGAAAGCCACAGAGACGTCAATGCAGCCAAGCGCATCGAACCAAAGTCAAAAAAGGCTTCGAACGGGAATCGACCAAGCCACGAAGGAAACGCATCCTCTGAGCACAGTGGCAGCACAAGCGGCGTCTTCCGTCACCGGTGATAACTACTCTGAAAGTCTACAAACTACGACGACTGCGAAGGACGTCGGAGGCGAGGCTGCTCGCCCGACAAGGGAGATGTCGACGGCAGAAAAGGTACCGCGTCACCTCGGGAACCCACAGAAAGAAGTGGACGGCGTCACGCCAGGGCTGCTTCAGCTTCGCATTCGTTTCCGGCTCATTCAGCTCGTCCTGGGGAGCGCGAAACCGCTGACGCCGGATGAAGTCCTGGAGACCTTATCGGACGAGGCTCAAGGCGTCCTCGACAAGACCACCTATCGAATGGTGGCCTACGCCAGCCGAGCTGTGCGGCTGTACGAAAAAGAAGCCCGACAAAACGCTCCGACGCGACCTCACGAGGAGACAACCCCCACCGCGGAAACC